GAGGTAGTTTGTGAGGTTTCAGAATATGTCTGTGAAATAGGTAGAGAATGAGATTATGAAAAATGTAGACAGAAGAGGCAATATCAAAGCCTCTTAGCAAATTTGTCCCTTCTCGTTATCTCTTACGAAGCTATTGAATAAATTTAATCTGGCAAGTTTAGCACTTTCAAAACCAAGAAAAATCAGGAGGAATTGGGTTTAAATACATATTTCAGTCTCCTTTTATCAATATCTATTGATAGATGATTATATCAATATTAACATTCATATCTATATCCACATACATGTTCATATCCACATTAAATCTTCAACAGAATATGGCCAGTCACAAGCAAAGGTGAGTAGGCCCTACTATTTTAGGAGTACTTAGAAGTCTATATTTCTTTCTCTTTATTACAGAAGAATTTCCATGAATTAATGTACAAGAAATAAGAGAAAAAAAAATGACTTTTAGACCACCACAGTAACAACTGTTGCAGGAAAGATCCACCAGTGGATGCTTATGTTAGTGGGTCAAAGTTTGAAAACAAACAAGGTATTTTCATGGACTCAAAGAATTTCTCCCAAAATATATATTATCAACAAAGTGAAGGACACTAACTTTACAGTGGAGAAAACTAACCAACACCACCATAACTGAATAAGGTTAGTAAAACAGTAATCAGATGACATACCCTGATAACGTGTACTGGGAAGGGCACCGCCCTGAGGCCCTTCAGTCATGGCCCCTAGAAGAGATGCATGATTTGGGGATGGGAAGGTCTTGCATCTCTACATCTTCCCTAATCAGAAACAATTTTCCTTACCAGATGAAAATCATATAAAGGGAAAAACTTGAAAGAACTGGTATGGTAGAGTTGCCCAGGTGCCTCAGAGGAGAGAAGCAATGTCTGAAGAAAATTCGAAAATGTACAAAGCGAGGGATCCAGGCATCGACAACCTGCTATGCCAACCACACCACGACTACGTGGCATTAGAAGCCACTCAAAGTCATTCTAATATGTCTCCTTCACAAGAAAATAATCTCATGAAGATTGCTACACTTTATGACTGGCTATAAGATAAAACATTACATTGAAAGGTTTGCAAAAAGCCTGAAAGAGAGCATGGTACAGATATTACTGAAACAGAAATCATGTTTGCAAATTAGAGAAACTACCCAGTCTTCCCTGTGATTATTTGAGCTGTCTCAAGTGTGCATTTGTGTGTATATGTGCAAGTGTGTGTGTATTTACAGGCTGATAGCTTTCAAACTGAGAAAATTCTGCCATTTGCAGGATTTAAATGATTATTTGCTGTCAATCTCAACCAAAAAAATAATGAAGTTGTCCCTCTGTGTCCATAGAGGACTGGTTCCAGGATCTCTCATAGGTATCAAAATCCGATGATGTTCAAGTCCCTGATAAAATATGACATAGGATTTGCATATAACCTACACACATCCTCCTGTATACTTTAAATCATCCCTAGTCAAAGGCGATGACACTGAAGAGAAAGGTCCACAACATCAAGACACTGAGTACTCCTTTGGACCATACCTGGAGGACATACCTATGTCTTCCTTGTAATTAAAACAATGGGTAATAAAGATATTATCAAATTAGAGAAAGAGTTACAACCTGAAACTATTAGAAGAGTCAAACAAGTTCATACAAGAATGAATCACATTCTACCTCAGGAGGATGGAAGATCGAGGTCTGCAATTACGTAGCTGAACTCCGGGCAACTAGACTGCTAGATAAACAGCAGCAGACAATTAAGCTGCATGGGGGTTAACTTATTCTGATGAAGGCAGGCAGATTGACAAGTTGATAGTGAACATGTTGGGCTTAAGACAAGGATTCAATATTGAAACTCAGATACTAAAATTCATAGAAATCCAAGTCATTCTAAGAAAATACCATTTTGTTCAGAAAGATACTCAATATATTAAAGAGAGAAAAGAGCAATTCCTCCCTACATGACCAATCGTCCTCTCACCCCCACACACTCAAAGAATAGAGTCCATTAAAACCATTGCTTGAAGCCAAAAGCAGCCCTCCATCATAAGCATAGGAGCTGACTGTCACCCGATAGCTTCTTTGGCCTTGACTTTTTCCCACGTGATGCGCCATATCTGCGTCTCTTTTATCCTGTTGACCAAGGACTGCCCATCAGCCTTTATTGTTTCTTCAGAATGCCCCCAATAGCTTCTGATCACAGGACTCAGTTGTGAGGACCTACCTGTGCTATGGTCTGAATATTCGTTTCCCCCCAAAATTCATATGTTAAAACCTAATCCCCAATGTGATGGTGTTAGGAAGTGTGGCCTGGGAGGTGATTAGGTCATAAAGGCTCCTCGCTACTTAATGAGATTAGTGTCCTTATAAAAGAGACCCTAGAGAGCTGCCTTGCCCCTTCCACCACTTGAGATTACAACAAGAAGATGTCATCTATGAGCCAAGAAATGGGCCCTCTCCAGACACCAAATCTGCCAGCACTTTGATCTTGGACTTCCCAGTCTCCAGAACAGTAAGCCATAAGTTCTATTGTTTATAAGCCACTCGGTCTGTTATATTGTTATAGAAGCCCGACTGGGCTAAGACAACCTATGAGGCCACACCCCGGTTTTCTGAGACAGACCATAGCTTGAACTCTGACACTTCTACTACACATCTCACAAGTACACAATTGAAATATAGTCAAACCCCTTTATTAAAAAGTTTTTGGGACAGACTGAATAGTATCTTACAAATTAACAACAGTGTAACAAGTGTTTGCAAGGCAGTTGTCACATTTTAAAGGACAAAAGTTGACTAATAGAACATTTGAAGATTTGTGTAATCAGGCACATTCTTCAATCACCCTTCTTTTTTTTAGCTCATGTTATCAGACAAACTGAGACGCAGTAAAGAGCCACAGGCTCTGCCCAAAAGGGTGAGATTTATAAATATTAATATGTGCCATGTTAATAGAATCAAGCTCCTTTTATGAATAGAATGTAATAATAAGCTGAAAAATCACTTTATTGTTACTTGCTCCAAAAGTAAAGATAGCCAAAAGCACGGCTTTCTTGAATCACATCCAGAGGGTTTCCACTAAGGTCAAAATTATAGTACCCTATTCTAAGGCAGCTTAACTTCTGAAAGGGGTTCATTGCACAAAAGTCTAAAAAAAGGCTCTAGTGAGTTATGAATAAAAACGTGAAAAAACTAACGCTATATACAATATATCCATATATATGTTTATATAATACAATATGTAAGTATATATAATACAATATATGTGTATGTGTGTATAAAACTTCTCCCAAAGTATACCAAGGGACAGTGTCTAACAAATAAAACTAGTTAAACTACGCTATCAAACAAATGCTATATACAATATATCCATATATATGTTTATATAATACAATATGTAAGTATATATAATACAATATATGTGTATGTGTGTATAAAACTTCTCTCAAAGTATACCAAGGGACAGTGTCTAACAAATAAAACTAGTTAAACTACGCTATCAAACAAAACCCCATAAAGATCTTAATATATCATCCACTACAACTTACTAGTGTTCTAATTACTTTCATTTAAAAATATTTCATATTCCATGGCACCAAAAGAAAAATTTTAGTGAGACCACGGCGTTAATGTGCTTCTAAAGGAACCTAATTTTCAAAACTCAGAAATAGTTAAAGAAACAGAGAAGTACAGGGATACATTGAACTCTCTACTAAAAACCATAAGTTATATAAGTATGTCTACATGTATACAATGCATTTATCAAATCAAAATACTTGTTTGATTGCAGACCATGACAATAACATTTATTTAAAAGTTTTTACTTGAAATGTGTCATTTTAAACCTTCAAACCTACCAGAAGGAGGCACAATCACATCCTCCTGCTTTGGAGATGAGGAAACCAAGGAGGTTAAATGATTTTCCTGAGGTCATTCACCACATAGATCGTAGAACAAAACCCTAGCCTAGGCCCTCAGATTGTAGAGTCATTGCTTTTATAACAAAGTAAGTTACAAGACACTGTGCTAGGCTCTGAAAAGATTCTAAGAAGAATATGGTCCAGTTACCACCCTTAAGAAGTTTAGAGACACATGAAGGTAATAGGTATGTTTATTAATTTTTGAAACAATCTGTTTCAAAAGAGAATAAATAAGATGCCATTAGGTGTACGTGCATTTGAACTAGGTAACAGAAACCAGACAGACAGGTTGGTGTCAAACAGCTGTGAAAGGCTCTACGACTCCTTCTGCTCTGTGTAACTAGTCTACCCACGAATATGTGCAATATGCAGAATCAATC